TCTGTATTAAACATTTTTGCTGGAGCTTACAATATGTTGAAAAGTAGATGTTAGGTCGTTTGCAAGAGATGCAGGGCAATTTATAGTAATTTTCAAAAGGAATTTAGTTCCATGATTCACCTGAAGCGGATTTGGCGATAACCGTACATTCCTACACCGTGATACCAAACGAGTCCTATACAGTCATCAGTAAATCTTATTGGTGCCAGTCTTAACGGCGAGTGAAGTTCTGTGTCAATATCCAGGTCCATGTTAGAGGATTCTAGAACATTAACTACGCCGTCAGACGCATCAGTTTCGTCATGTGAAGTAAAAAAATCCAGATTAAAATAATTGAAAAGCTCAACGGTTGGAGATCTTTCTTTGAAGAAATTGCGGCCACCGGAAAACCCATCCATTTTTCCACAAAAAAATAAATAGCCATAATTCTGGTGAATCGAGTTGTAAAAGGAAGGTACGATGTATTTTAATGCTAACGTTTCGTGTCCTTTCCGAATTACCAGTTCTTTTTCGTGATGAATCTTCTCCAGGACGAAATGGTTCCTGCCATCAAATAGTTGGCGCATGCGCAGATATATCGATCTCTGCTCTTCGCTCCTCTGATTAGGTTGAGCTTGAGATGAAGGCAGGCAATTGAACCAAGTGTAAGGCACCCTGTAAGAAACACCAACACAGATTAAACAATTAAGCCGTGTTCAGTGCAGGGAATTGAACTAGGTGCAAAATTCCAGCGACCTTCAGCTACGTCACACGACGAGGTCAAGGGTGACGAAGGCGCCATGTGCTGTTACTTTCCCTCCGACACCCCTACCCACAATTTTGGATTCCAACGACAATTCTTTGTCTGTTTGTTTGTAACTGCAACAAAACTCAGAGATATTTTGCGACAATCAAGCTCAGGCCATGCATGAGTCAGAGGTCCGTGGTCTAACTTGTGCTCAAAGAATTTTCAAACGACAAATGTTATGATTGTGTGTAAACACATTCTGACATCTGGAGTCTCCCACCTATCAGAATCTGCACTCCTGAGGCCAGTGGGTTATCGTACGGTGTCAAGCCCAGACAATCACCGTACGCTATTAAAGATTACAGAACCTCGTAACCTGATAAAGCGTTGCAAAATACCCGAAGAACATCCGCGGACCTCATAAAAAAAGTGCATGAACAACGATTTTCAATCCAACAGATTCTTAATGTGCCAAATGTACCAAAGTCCATTCAGGGAATCAGATTTACAAAATGAAGTACCCGTTAAAGACTTTCGAAATTATCGTCGAGTGGGGGGCGGTTGGACAGCGGCCCATTTTGCCCAACGGTTACCTGCAACGGTTTTCCACACGGACACAAACATAGCTTTTTTTCGGAACATCACGTAAGACAGACAGACATAAAGGAACCTTATCCTTCTTTCACGTTGAAGTGCTATGCTTTATGCCTGTCAGCAATCGGCTGGGATTCTTCGAACAAAGAAACAAATGTCCTACATCAGTGGACAGTCGTTCATAGAAGTGGCGCTTTTGCGGAGTCTCACGAGGAAGTCAGCGAGGAAAATCTCGATCAAGATAACCGTCTCCGGGTTGAGATTTAGTATTTATTCTTGCTTACGCAAATTCTCGCTCAGCATCGAGCAAGGGGAATCAGAATAAACAGCAAGAATTGCTCGATCCAGGGAAGTGAACAGACGATGGC